ATACACATGACAAAATGACAAAATAAGTGACGACAGAAGACAAGACTGGGACAAAAATAAACCTTAAAAAAAAAAAAATGCGCAATTATATTATCAAAACTATTTGGATCAGCACAAAAACAACAGTGACCAAACGGGCACCATAGCCTAGGAACGTCTGTGTGTTGATTTAAAATAGAGGCTCATAGAAGCAAAATTTATCAATAAAAGGGGTCTAGTGTAGAGTTTAAGCAAGTCATGCCACTGGATAACTACAAAAAAAAAAAAAAATAAAAAATGAGCGTAAATATTAATATAATGCGCTCTAATAGGATTAATGGTGTAGCTAATGAATTAACGCATCGGTATAAACCTACTGTTGATCTGTGCACGGTAAAATCATTGATATTATTGATCATTTTTGATCGATAGAACGGAAATGGGCGATTACGACGAAGTAATGCTCTACCCTATTAGTTTTTCTTTATGTACCGATTTGCCCCAAAAATCGTCTGTTTTACTTGGAGAATTTGGAAACTATCCTCCTTCTAGTAGTTCTCACTTCGTAATATAGGTGGCGAAAGCTTGGAAAAGTTTCACTGCAAGACGCCAATAAGCTTGAATTGCGAAGAAGAAGAAGAATAATAATGTTTCCTGAAAAGCAAGAGATGATGTATGTGAGACCTCCCTTAGCTCAGTCGGTAAAGGCACAGCTACAAAGCAATACCATGCTGGAGGTGGCTGGGTTCGATTCCCGGTCCGGTTTTGGAATTTTTTGGGTTGGAAAATTTCTCGACTTCCCTGGGCATATAGAGTATGATTGTACTTGCTACACAATTATACTAATGCAAAAATGGTACAGGCATCGAAAGCTCTCAATTAATAACTGTGGAAGTGCAACTAGAAAACTAAGTTGAGAGCACGCAAAAAGCTAATATGCCATACGCAAAAAGCTTGAAATGCGAGGAAGAAGAAGAAGTATGTGAGATTGAAAATGGCCGAATTTCAGCTCAAATGTGAATGATTGACCATTATAAACAATTATGCAACACGAAGAAGGTCCAGTCTGAATTTTTTTCTATATCTATACGTGGCGATAGCATCTCCTGGTTTCCTCTATAAATTGTCCACTTTCGACCAATTTAGCGCTAGTATCGATAAATTTTCGGTTTAAAATTGCCACTTGGCGCTACCAGCACTTAGTGTCTAGTGTAAGTTGTGCAACGCCAGCGCCATCAGGTTGTCAAAAAGGGTTTTTAAGTGAAGAAGTCGCCGTTAGTGACGCTTAAGTCGAATAGAAATCTTTACACTAGTTTTTAGAGATATTTTGTTCGAGCCTCATCGTCTGTTCTCTGTGTCTGAACGTAGATGCGCTTCTGATGTATTGCAAAGAGAGTTTGTCCTGACAAATTTTACTTTGTTGCTTGCCGTCACTGATCACGCATTATAATTGGTTCGTTTAGACTGCCGTTACACGCATAAGAGTCCCATGGTGCATAAGGATTGCATAGAACATGGGACAGTTATGCGTATAACGGCAGTATAGTACGCACTTAGATTTTTCTACCGAGCTCAGCTGTGCAAATCTCGGCAAAAAATGTTTTACTGAGATCTCAGCTTAGCATTATCCGAGACTGAACAATCAAATGTCACTTTTGCTGAGATCTCAGTGAAACTTATTTTTCAAATATGGACCAGTTAGGTCTGGGTCACAAACAAGGCGTCACAATATCAGCTTCAATCGACCAAATCGATGCGACGAAGAGACTGCTGGCTTTCTTTTTCTGTTAAAGTCGAATAGCTTCGAAGCATTCTCTAGAACCTCAGTCGGCGTGCACAAACAAATGTTCAATCGCTTGTCTTTCTTTCTCTTGTCGCTCCATTGGTCTTCCTTTCAAGCTTCGGTGAAACGGATGATCGAAAGAGCGCTCGACTTTGATAATTTTCTCTTTCATGAAACACATCAACAGAGGTTTCATGACGTATATGACGGAAAATGAAATAATACATTTAAAGCATTTCTCACGTGAAAACACGTGAAGATTACACGTAATATTTTTAATTTATCTTCCATCCATATATTAATCAAAAAAAAAATGATCAAAAACGGGACATAACGCATTTTGAACAAATTGAAAGAGCGGTGATAGAGTGTTCGTGAAAGGGGATTGAAATCCATAATGAGGTTCGTTTAACTAGAAAATCGACGTTAGTTACATTGAAAGCGATGAGCAAAGCAACGACGAGAAGTTCCACAGCCAGCCTTTCCTTCTAAGCGTCCTGCTTTTTTATTTTCGTTTCTTGCTGATAGTCTAGCTAGGCGTTATAGAAATGAAGCGTCGAACACGTATGTATGAGAGAAAAAAAAAACACGAGTTCATTTTAGAGCTTCGAAAATTCAGAGCCCTGGTCACAAATGGGAAACTTACTTTGCCGAGATTTGCACAGCCGAGCTCGCTAGAAAAAAACTAAGTGTGTATGTCAATTTCGTCACAACAAAGCCATTTTTCACAACCCGCAAAACCAAGCGACTTTCAGTCCCATGTCCCGAGTTTCCAATCGTAGTCCTATTTTCGACTCGTAGGTCTTTGCCGGGGTAAAATGCCCATGCCAAGGAAGTCCTCCGATTAATCCACAAAGTGAATCGATATTTAAGTGCAATGCCATCTAAATGTTGCATTAGGCAAGATATCACAATTGATATACTTAACGAAAATTGCTAAGTTCTTGCTTAAATCAGTGAAAATAAAAAGGCTAACAAAAACCTGTTTTCGGCATACTGCGGGGCAAAATGCGCAAACTGATTTCATGTCAAAGAAGCATACATTTAGGCTCTATCTATGTTCCTCCGTTATTGAATTTCAGAAGTTCACGCCTGATGGTTATGCTTTCCTCACTACAATTCGCAGGGCGCATTTGGGGTATAAGTCAAGAGCAAATTTTCACTACGTCGAAAGTGACAAAGGTAAAACTACTATTACACTATATAGGGAAAAGCGCTACTTCGTCGTAATCGCCCATTTCCGTTCTATCGAGCAGAAATCATCAATAATATCAATGATTCCACCATGCACAAAACAATAATACGTTTGTTCCGATCCGTTAGTTCATAAGCCACAACATAAAGCCTATTACAACGCATTGTATGAATATTTACACTCATTGTTCTCAAAAAATAAGAAGCGCTCCTAGCGAATCCACTTTTCTACCATCATCCGTAGGGCCAAGAAAATCTTATGGCGTTTCAATGCGTTAGGACGGAATTGAAACTCGTAGGACGAATTTAAATTCAAGAAGCAGTGCTAGATTTTTAATAATATCTCGTCATTGTATGACTCTTTATCAAATCCAACGGTACGTATGGAAAGGTGAATAAATTTAGAAGTTATCTTTGATGAAAACATTCCATGTTTTGTTCAAACCCTTTCAAAAAAGAGAGCTAAAGGGCGGGATGTGCTTAGTAGGACGGGAATTAGATCAAAACCCCTACTGTTCGAATATAGGATCACATCCCATTTTTTAATTAATTTACCAGTCAAATTGCTTTTTGACGTAATCGCCTTCCGATCAAAATATTTTTCGATATTACTCAAGTCACCCGATTTCTATGGAGATACCTTTGTCTTAAGAAACAGCGCAGAGAAACCCGTGAAAAGTGTACTTCGTCGATTCGCTTTCTCATTATTAAAGTGAATAAATCGAACTGTTTGTTGCTAAGATGATTTCGGTGGTCCTAAAATGATGAATGGGCTGCACATAAGGAGACGTGATTGATAATTCTCCCGAATATCCTGGTAAATACACTTTGACTTAAGTAAGGGGGTTACCCAACGACATAGGGTAAATTATGGCTTCGGCACCCATTGACTGTTTTCGGCAACCGAAATTGAAACGTTTATTTCACTGTATTTTCCCATCAAAACGCTTCGCTGAATGTATTAAGCCGATTCCTTACCTTTTCAGCTTCAATCTGATTACGTTTTTACGACTGTGAATTCCTGTTATACCATATTTTTATTTAAATGAAATATACATACTACAAAATACGGCTGATTTCGAGTTGCCGATAATAGAACAGCTGGTTAACACGCAGTTCAAATGGAAAGGGTGCCGAAGAAAAAGAGACTGCCGACAATAGTCACTCTCACCTGAGAAGTTTGGAGCGTTGTAAAAACATGTTCAACACGTTTTGATCAATTCTGTCGATTGGAATTGGTAGAACAGCAAGCAGCAGATAAATGTCAACAAACAAACCTGTCATGTATGTGTGTGACGCTGAGAAATCGCTAATAGAAGTTCGGACGCTGCTTAGATTGACGAGAATACGTAAATTCCCCTATAACAACTTTTGTCTCAAAAACCAGTATTTTTTTGCATGAAAGCTTGCGATCTGCTTTGTACATAATGAAAATTTGCTTTTGATGTAATAGTAATTATGAAAATAACTAGGTACTATGTTTCTAATAAACATACCACTCGAGCTTTCGAGCCGAAAGAAGAAGGATGTACTTAACAACATGCATCAATCCAATCAAACTTAGGTGTTGTTCAGACATAGCTTGAAATATTGTTTCTACTACTTTACTGAATATTGTAATCACCTATACTACCGTTATAGGCATAGCTGTCCCATGTTCTTATTTACCGTGGAACAGGTATGCATATAACGGAAGTGTAACTTCAAACAAAGTTAGATTTCTGATTTAGGTTAAAATGAGAACCACCCTAATAATCGTTTGAACAAAAAAGAGGCCCATTTAAATACTTATAACCAACTTCTGCCGAGGCACTAATCCTCTAGAACGGATAGCAACAGAGTAAATATGTTTTTCTTGCTAAATTGCCGTTTCGGACCACAGTGCACTGTTTGATTATTTCAGATGTTTTACCAGCCTGCGACATCTACTAACTAGGGAAATCAAAGCAGTTGCTGTTCTCAGTCAAATGTTTTGCCAAACTACATTAAAATAGCACCCCCACTAAATAATTCTCTCTCTCTCTCTCACTCTTTCGCCCTCCAGATCTACTCTCTCAACATCAACAACCCGACGGACTGCGCCAACAAATTCATCTCCAACCACCAGGTTGGGCTCATCCTGTTCCTAGGCATCGTCTTGGGTACCCTGTACAAAGGCTACGGCCAGACCACTTCTTCATCGACGCCGTCTCCCGCCGCAGCAGCACTTTCACCTTCTACCTCATCCGGATTGGTCCTGGCAGCGGCCAATCAAACGACCCCTACCGTCATGCCGAGTCAAGCCAGCGCCGTCTAACCGACGCGCCGCCCCGCAACCTTCAGAATTTTCGATTCGTTTACCTTTAATTTATACTGTGAGTAGAATTTTTGAAATTCAAATTGTGTCATAGATTTGAAAAACAAAATACGCAATTACGCTTGGTCATTTTTTTTTTGAGAAATAAATTGGGATGATTATTTTAGCTGGCAGTTCTTTTGAGTATCACATGGAAACAGACCTCCAATCAACGAGCTTGGTTTTATTCTTCATTCTCGTCATCGTTCAGCACCCGGAAGTTGATTTCCTCCTCTTCATCATCGCCGTCGTCGTCGTCGTCGTCGTCATCACCATCGTCGATGTCCCCATCCGGTCGGTACTCGTCAGAATCGCTCTCGGCATCGAAAAGGTCCTCTCCGTCATCATCGTCGTCACTGTCGAAGAGGTCCGGATTGACCATGGCCGCTATGACAATGTCCCGGGCCAGACGACGGCGGCGCCTTCGGTCAGCGTTGATGATGGGCTGATGGCCAGCTGCAGGTACTTGTTGGTTCGTAACGGCGGGGGCGGTGGTAGCTAGGAATAGAGACCTGTTTTGAACCACCGGTCAACAATGGTTGCAGATTTTTTTTATGAACAGGGGTGTCATCAGGATTGGAATTTCATGTCTGGGGTTGGGTTTATTTTCGAGTGCATATCTTCAGTATCTTATATTTTTCTGGATACTATTTTCCCCTGATAACAACCTCCCCAAGTAGATTATTTGTAGATAACGTAATCGTTCAGTCGAGTTGGCTGTTTGATACTGCGCTGGGGACGAACCGAACTCGAATTGCCGTCGTCCGGATCTTCGTCAGATGGAGAGTTATTAGCATCCACGAGACCCGTCCGAGCAGCTGGTACGTATCGGATCGCTATTGCAGGGAAAAAGAAACAAAATGACTAATTGCGCTACGATAACGAATGGCACACACACACACAAAATAAAGCCTGGCGACATGAATTCCAATCCTGTGCTTCGGGGGATGAATTTGCAAAAAATGATCTAAGCGCATGGAAAAGGACATACCTCGATTATACTTACTTGAATCGGGATGCTGGAAATCCCGGAAATGCTGTGGATTGCGACGGTAGCAGGTCACACCGTACGGACAATGCGGTGCATCGCTCGGTGCCGCGGGAAACGATGGCCTCCGGTAGTCGCTGTCGTTGGGATGAGCAAATTGGGCCCGATGGTCCAAAGTGCGCCGATAGCAGCGGATTCCGAACTCACAGGACGGCCGCCCCGGTGGTGAACTGGTACTGTCGGCTGTTTCCTTCTTAATTTCCTTTTTATCTGCTTCCGCCGAAGGCGACTTTGGCCGAGATGTGCTCGCTTCTACAACATCCGGATCTGTCTTAACTACTACTGGTACATCGTCGCCTCCGCGGGCTCCGTCCGCATCATCCGCACCTTTAGCTTTCTTTGCACTCTCAGCCTCCGATTCCTCGTCATTCTTCCGTTTCTCCCCACTTCCTCCACCACTCATCCAATCGGGCAGAACCCGCTGCTCCGCAACTGCACTGTTGACCTCCTCCATCGTTCGTACCCGTAACAATTCACCGTTGGAATTTCCGTTAGCAGTCGTTTCCTCCGTCGACGGAGAGCTACTGCTGACAGCCGTCTCCTCCACCTCCGGATCCTTAAATCGCACCTCGAACCAGTACTGATCCGGCAGCAGAGCAAACTTCTCCCCGTGCCTCAGCGTCGCCGTTAGGTCTTTGGTCAGTATGTTCAGCACCTGGTCATCCGTCCGCAGGAAGATCGGATTCGAGTGGGTGGATGTGATCTGAATAGTACCTCCGGCCTGTTCGCCGTCGTGCTTTATAATGCCGTGCTGCCGCGAGATTCGCTTGTCGTCACACTGTGGCGATGTGGTAATTGTATAATCAAAGCCGTGAATGTACAGGAAAACAATGAACAAACCTGCAAAATTGAATCCCGACCAATGACGGTTTCGGCGGACGCAATCGCAATATCCACCTTCTTTTCACAGTCGTACAGATAGAAGTGGATTGCCATTGTTTGATGGTTAGATTTTCGAGCAAAAATGAACCTATAATTTAGAGAATTTGAGCATTTTTCGCTGCAAAACAACTAATAACACAAAATTTAAAACGCGAAACAGCCAATGTTTGTTTACAGCTTCACGAATGGCGCACTTTTCAACTTTCAGTCTTCGGGTTTTTTTCTCGCGGAGTTTTCCGCTCATCACGAACGTACACGAATGACAGAAAACAGCCAATCTCCGCTCAGTCGACATAACGCGAAAAATAGGGGTGCTCAAAAAGAAAACTAGCACTCGCGATCTAAAGTGAACTCTTGTGGCGAAAATATGAACTATCGAAATGATGATGCGGTTTCAATATTTTCTATCAGACTGTGTTCCATTTGGTGAATTTTCAAATAAACCTGCACTCAACATATCTTAAAATCTAAATAGATTAAAAGTTACGCTAAATCGCAACTCTTTTTTTATCCATTTCGTTTATTTGGAAGGCTCAATCGCGTTAGCTTTACGGAGCCGATAATTCATTGTTCACTGTTTGTAACAAAATTCACTTAATTCTATGTCTAGTAGGAGTTGCGCCGATTACTCGCAGCTTACTCGAGTTTAGAGGGGTACATTGTTGAATGATAGGATCAGGGGAGGAGCTTGGGGTAGGGTTTCGTTGTCTCATCAGAGCGTTGTCGCCAGTATGAATGGTAGTGCTGTTCTAGCTTCGTCTGGAGTTCGACTGGCTATGGTGACCAGTGGGCGACGATGAGAATCATCGAGACGGGGGGACAAGACAAACAAAAACTAATAAAGAGAGACAAAAGACAAAGGAATTAAATTCTTATACTAGACATTTGAAGAAACACATAAACGGACTGCATGTAGCAGAGATCACGGGTTGCCAACACGTCTCTGATAGGAACATAGGGTTGTCTTCCTTGGGCCTCGAGGGTACTCAAAAGTCGCTCTCTGGCGGCGTCATTATCCGTACATTGCCAAACTGCGTGTTCGATGTCATTGTCCGCCTTCTCATTGCCTGGGATTGAGCAAGGTGGCTACATATAGGTGTTCTAATGTGTCAAATTCGTGATTCAGCCATGTTGGATTTTTGTATGGGACAGCGACCGAGTTTGTTTACAATTTGCTCTAAAACCGCATTTTTCCCCCCCGCGACCTCCTCGCCTATATAGTGACAAAGCTGTATCCTAGGCTGTATCACCATTTATATACCCACCATGGGATTGAGCAATGTGAGGAGACCCATACAAAGGTAATCATATATGATCTTTCGACCATTACACTCATCTGCTCCCTTACCTTTGAAAGGAAATAAGATGAGTGCCTACCTTGTTTCATCGACCGAATAGCCTCAATCGAACTGAGACTATCCGAGAAGATGAAGTAATGGTCTGTGGGCATATTGGAAATCATCCCCAATGCGAAGTTGATTGCTGCCAGCTCAGCAACAAAAACGGAACAAGGTTCCTGAAGTTTGCGGAAGGCGCTAGAGTTTTCATTGAAGACACCGAAGCCAGTGGATCCATTGAGACGGGACCCGTCTGTAAAATATCTTTTCATGCAATTGACTTGTTGGTACTTTTCAGTAAAAATACGTGGGATAATAATAGGTCGAAGTTGATCGGGAATCCCATGAGTTGCTTGTTTCATGGTCAGATCATATTCAATTGAGGAACTGCGATTGGTGAAGTGAACACGGTCTGGAGTATAACAAGGAAGACACATATCCGACGATATGTAGTGGTGGTAGATTCTCATAAATCGAGATTGTGTGTTCAGCCCAAGAATTTCTTCAAAATTTGCAATTATAAGTGTGTTCGTCACTCCGAAATCGCAACTCTCCCGACCGGCGCATACCTTTATATAAAGAAAAATAATACACACTTAGTATAAAAATGTTGTAGTTGGGAATCTACTAGCATTTGTCATTAAAAGTTTCCCAAAATCCGTAGTTTCAACTGCGAAAATATTGAACATAACATTTTTCTATTCGCCTTAAAAGTTTTTCTTTCACTTCCGACTTGTAAATTTAAAAGTGCATTTTTTTGAAAGTAAAGTTGTACAACTGTCAAAAATACATCTTTAGAGGTCGTTTTTACTGGCAGCACTGAACTCTCATTTGTCACCTTTTCCGATAGTGGAAATTTGGTCAGCCGTCTGCTGCAGAAATTTGGGACAACAAATTTGTAAAAAGTAAGTCAATCTGTGAAACGTTGAAGTTATTGTTGGTTTAATGCTCGGTTTAATGGATCTCTTTATTGGGAAAACAATTAAACTCACATTTATATTGTTTTTCGACATTCATATAGACTCCCACTGAAGGTCTGTTTTCCCGGAACAGTTTCCTCCATCCCATCGTCCACAACCGGCGGAACTGATGGAGTAAGCTCACTGCATCAGCTGTGGTTGTTCCACCGGAAAAGCCTAATTTGGACTTCAAACGGAAGGTCTCCAACGGGCAAGAATGCCGTTTCGTTTGATCATCGATTCAAAATTGAATTTCCCTAGTAGGGCACCAGATTCACACGGAACATGTACTACGCTACCCTGGAGTGGTGCTGGGAATTTGTTGAAAAGGCTCCGTTTGCCAAAGCGTCACTTCCTTTATATCATAAATGGCATTTGACGATGCGATGAATGGCATACGAATAAAATAGTGATTTTTATTTATTAATTTATATGATGAATATACATAAAAATTAGAAATGATAACAATATGAGTTTGAATACTTTCTTTTTAAGCTTAAGGACTCTTATAGCGAATTCGTTTATTATCGGGGTTGGAACCCAGTGCGAAACCGAACTTTTTTGTCAGTGCGAACCTCAACCTGAGCTAGGTTTTAAAAAAAAAACGAGCAAACTGACGTTTGTCAGAAAACAAGCAGACCCAATCCTGATACCCAATCCAGGTTGGAACTGAATAGTAAACGAATTCGCTATTAATTTGAAAATAATTTCATTTTGCGATATAAAATAAATATTACTACACTGAGAAAATTGTGCATAAAGGGTGATACGGTCAAAATTTGGTCAATATCAACTTGACGTATTTCTTTCAATTTTGCATTTAAAAAACCTGAACACCCCTCATTTTGAAGGTGTGTGTGTGTAGAATGTTGCTCCTATTTTGATTTTGGAATTCACTCTTCAGTTGTCAAAATGCCGTCCAAGCAAGAAGAGCAGCGTATCAAAATTTTGCTAGCGCATCGCGAAAATCCGAGCTACTCGCACGCAAAGTTGGCAAAATCGCTAAAAGTTGCCAAATCAACCGTTACAAATGTAATTAAAGTGTTTGGGGAACGTTTGTCGACAGCCAGGAAGTCTGGATCGGGGGGAAATCGAAAACCGGAAGCCGCTGAGACGACAAAGAGAGTTGCCGGTAGTTTCAAGCGAAACCCTAACCTCTCTCTCCGAGATGCCGCAAATAAGCTGGGTGTATCGTCTACAACCGTGCATCGAGCCAAAAAACGAGCCGGACTATCGACTTACAAGAAGGTAGTGACTCCAAATCGCGATGATAAACAAAATACGACGGCCAAAGCGCGATCCCGGAGGCTGTACACGACGATGCTGACGAAGTTTGACTGCGTGGTAATGGACGACGAAACCTACGTCAAAGCCGACTACAAGCAGCTTCCGGGACAGGAGTTTTATACGGCAAAAGGAAGGGGAAAGGTAGCAGATGTTTTCAAGCACATGAAACTGTCAAAGTTCGCAAAGAAATATCTGGTTTGGCAAGCCATCTGTACCTGTGGCTTGAAAAGCAGCATTTTCATAGCTTCCGGGACTGTCAACCAAGAAATTTACGTGAAAGAGTGTCTGCTGCCTTTCCTGAAGAAACACGGTTGTTCCGTACTGTTTTGGCCGGATTTGGCATCTTGCCATTACGGTAAAAAGGCCATGGAGTGGTACGCCGCCAACAACGTGCAGGTGGTTCCCAAGGACAAGAACCCTCCCAACACGCCAGAGCTCCACCCAATTGAGAAATACTGGGCTATTGTCAAGCGGAACCTAAAGAAGACCAAAAAAACTGCTAAGGGCGAGCAGCAGTTCAAGGCAAACTGCCCGAAAAAAAAATTACAGTGAAATTTTCAGTGGAAACAATGCTCTAACATTAATATTTATTGTCGACAATAAAAATTATTGTTATAATGTTGTACCCTTCCGAAAACGGCAAAACTGCTACCTAGATGTACAATGAATGTACATAATAAAATATTGTTACAATGATTTTTATCGTATTTTCATTTATTTTATTGTTAACATGATTCGATCATGAACAATAATGAACAACTCTATTACAATAAAAATTGTTGTTACATTAAATATTGGTGTGTTTTCATTGTGGGTTACTTCACGAACAATAAAAATAAATCTGATTGAAGCATGCAGACTATGAGAGACCCTCTTGCTGACCCAGCAACACTGCCAATGTAATCAAGATAGGCGCTGCTCGTATGGCTCTTGCTTTGACAATTCGTTTGGCTCAAAACCAGCCAGTCCGCGTCCGCTCAGCTCTTATCCTAAATCCCGCTTAATGCAGACCTTTTCCGTGCAGTCAATAATAATAAAAAATTCCACCACTTGAAGATGTCAGGAAGGAACTCTCAGGTGGAAGCATATTTCATGGGCGATTCTCTCAAGTCGAATTCATTAACTTATCAACGACGCTCAACCACCAAGGAGACGTGACCTAGGGAGATCGAGTGCAGGGGAGTTGGCCTCCATTTCTCACAAGTTCCGGATCGAATCTCAATCCATAACCAGTAAAAAAAGGACTCACCCGTAACAGACATACCCCCCCTTCCCTTCCCGGGGCGATGTTTTATTTTTTCGATTTATTTTTAAAGTCGATAAAGTAGATCTGTCAAGCCAACACATACACTCTAAAGTACACTGTTATTTTTTTAAATCAATAAATTCGTCAACCAACAGTAAAATAACAATAATATATAATGTTATTGAAAAAAAATTATATGGGGAAATCACGAAAATTTCATTGTTAAGATACTTAACAACCCCCCTTTTTTATTGTAAATTTTCCATTTACCATGAAATTTGCTGTTTTGTACAACATAAATCAAGGTAAATTTATTGTAGACGTAACAATATAAATCATTGTTAAGACAATAATTTTCGTCTTATTGTTACATTGTTTTTTATTGTATTTTTGTTGTTATTTTTTTTCGGGTGGCTTTCTGCGGCGAAGAAGGTGGACAAGGTGGCTGTACAAAATCTGATGGCAGGGGTCAAGCGTAAGGCCTGGCAATTCGGATTTGGAAAAGCGGAAGCCTAACTGAATATTTTTTCTGAATTTTATACTAATTGAACTTGAAAAAGAAATTTAATTTGATTTTTTAAATAAACGATTTCACCGATTTACACGCGTTTTCCCTTGACCAAATTTTGACCGTATCACCCTTTATAATGTTTATGTGACACACACATAGATTTTTGCATTGTGATTGCACAAATGAAATTTATGTGTGAGGCACATAAATTGCTTTCAATCGACATTCAATGAATTTTATGTGTGATCACAAATGGACATTATGGGTAGTAATAAATAGATTTCATTTGTCTGTTGATACTTTTTATTGTTTATTATTTTGAAATTGTTGGATTTAATGTTTAACCAGAATGATATAATACCAACAATCAATACGAATCTAACGATTTTAAATTGGCTCACCACTTTAGTAGCCTATTGGTCCCAAGCAAATTGAATAACGTACCCTATTCTAGTTGAAATTCTATTACTACACTATGTTTGTTTTGATTCGCTATGAAAGTTTGACAGATAACATCAGGGGTGTGTGGATTCATGCAGAACATGCAGGGGTGAGTGAAATAGCTTGGGACTGCTTGGGACCGTTGTTCTGGTACTGAGTGAGCCAAAAATAATAATGATTTTCTTCGGGACCCAGTGGTCTTAGAGTTACCTCTATGATAATACTCTAAATTCAAAGCTTCTCGATATATTTCATGTTGATCTGAACAGCCAATAAATTAATATTTACACCGAATTGAAAACATTATCGTTCATCATGATTTAAGCTCTAGATGCTTTCGTGTTCGGGTATTGCCAATCGCTTCATTATGTGCCGAGTTCCAGATGATAGCTAGTTCAGCGTTTTCAGTAATCTTCCGTTTCAGCCTCTGCACTTTTTCTATACTGATCGCACAGTGCTCATGGTGTTGCGACCTTGGTTGCGACCGTGGTTTTATTTTTTTTATATCTTTATTAAGGAGACTTTCAGCCGTTGGCTGGCTCCGACCGTGGTTGCGACAAATCAAAAAATGCGGCTTGTCGATTCCCATTCCAAGTGCACCGCTCGTCACCGATCCAATTCTGGTGGGTTTCTCTGCAGTGCTTCGGATCCGTGTTTTGACCGGGCAGCTCTTTCATCTCTCGCTGCAGCAGCCAGTTTAGATTGAGGAGCAGATTTCAGCTGGTTCTTAAAATATTACAGTTAAATATACGTTTCAACATTTTTTCCTCATATTTACCTTAAAAATATGCAATTGTGCTCCTGGAATCTCAAAATCCTACACTAGTTTTTCGATCACAAACTATTTTTCGGTCTTCATTTTGAAATTCCATTCTCCATCGAGTGTATATTAGTTTTATGTGGGCTCACACATAGTTTTTTGCTATGTGCCATTAAACATGCTGTTTATTTGGGGCACACATAGTTGGCATAAGTAAGACACACGACGTTCATGTGTCGTTTTTAAAATTTATGTGTGGGTCGTTTTATAAAAGTTATGTGTGAAATCATATAAATAAAACCTTTGCTGTTTTATCAGTGTACCGTGAAAACGCCATCTTTTGAAGTGAAACAATTCTCGATGAACATTTCAAATGGTCCTATCTGCTTTGATCGATTCTCTTCATCGACTTTCTCTTTTCATAACCACTGCTATGCAAACAGATTTCGCGCTAATTCTACCACATAGTTTGATAAAGGAGGTTCTTATCTAGCGTCCAAAACGTCAAATACAACAGGGAAAGGTTTTGCAGCTGAGTTATTAACGAAAGAGAAAGTCGATGAAGAGAATCGATCAAAGCAGATAGGACCATTTGAAATGTTCATCGAGAATTCATATGTCATTTAAAAAACCTTGGTTTTTATTTTGACGGTTCTACAATTTGATTCAAAAGCTTCTAATTTGTCAAGTTTCAGCTTTTTATTTTGAAAGCTCTGTACTTTCTACCAAAAAGAACCAATGATAACTTTTAATTCTAACAATGTTTTTTTCAATTAAATTAACGATAATTTTTTGTGTGTATGTTCAAAAATCCCTGTGCTGTCGATTGATCGGTTTTCGAGAAGAACTCAGACACTGTAGTCAAAATTTAACTTCTTGTCTGTCAGAAGTAACCACGCTCGGATAGCAGGGTTAATCTATAACTTTCCATCTGTCAAATTTTAACCAAAAGCAGACCCCTTTCACTCTTTGGATTTTTTAGAGACAGATAACAGCGCCAAACCATTTATAACTCTCCAGTCTGGACAGCGTTTTATATCACACAAACGTTCATGTAAAGTTCCATAGCCATTTCATTTAAAATTTAGCAGAGATTATAAACCACTTTTAACCATTTTCGGTATGGTCAAGTTTATGCGGGTAGTCAAGTAGTGACCCAACAAACAATTTTAGCTGCAGACTAGCTTATAAAGGCAAACATTAGTTGTATAAGCCAATCTTTAGCTGTATAAGCTAATCTGCAGCTGAAAATGTTAGTTGGGGAGCCAATTTAAAATCGTTAGTTTTTACCTGTTGGCACCGCTCAAGGCCGGCAACCAATGCATACGTTCTCAAGGCCCACGCACATTAGATCCGGATCGGACGCGTTGCGACAAAGTGACAGCTAAATCTATTGTCTAACTGTCAAATTTACGTCAACGCAACGCAAACGGATCTAATGTGCGTGGCCCTTCAGGTTTTTTGACAGTTAGTCCATGCATTATCTGTCAAAAAACCCAAAAACGTATACACAAAAATTCAAAACAACCCAAAATTAAGTTCTTTTCACTCATCTCCCATGTTCCGTACGATAAGCCAAATTTGGGTAAACCGGCTCAAAGTAGTTTGCATTTAAGCACGGCAAAAAAAATTACCCATCGCTAAGTTATTTTCAATTTTTTCTACCCAAAATTAAGTTCAATTAACTCAAATTTGGGTATATCGCATATTACTCAATTTTGGCTTCTCGTACGGAACTAGACGGTTGAGTCGAATCTTTCGTTCTATTTTTGACAACAATAGCGAGAGGAAATGAAACGGACAGAGGTCAAATAACTCAAATTTGAGTTTAAAAAACCCAACCGGTGGGTAGTTTTGTTTTTCTGTGTATATTATGCGCCGGCCTTCAGTTTCATCGTATCCGATACACGGTAACCGCAAAATACCCAATAATGACTACAAAGTAAGCATTTTCAAGGGAAACTGGGACTACCCATTAAATGAGTAAACTTTTACCCAATTATGAGTAATAACAACTACAAAAATAAGTAGTACGTATTCATTTGTGAGTAACTAATACTCATAAATGGGTAATTCGTTTTACACATTTAATGGGTAGTCCCAGTCTCCCTCGAAAATGCTTACTTTGTATTCAATATCGAGTCTTTTATAGTAATTATTGGGTATTTTGTGGTTACCGTGTAAGCCATACAAATTTTATGCATCGTATAAGCTACCTCTATGGTATAAGCTACCTCTATGGTATAAGTTACCTCTATGGTATAAGTGGGATCACCTGCTGTGTTGAATTTACTCATCTTGTTCTCTGATGTCGACTCATCGCATCTGATCACCCCTTGCTGCTTTGTCAACTTGGCAGTTGACTGCGCGAAAGAAACTGAATTAAACCACCTATGGTGAGCTCTGATCAATCTTATAGTACGTTCAGACTACAGAGTTATAGCATGTTATAGCGCTATCTTGATGGTGGTTTCTGTGTTGCAATTATTTGACAACCGTTATACATGTTATAACTCTCCAGTATGGACAGCGTTTTATGCCTTGTTCAGACTGGAGAGTTATAACATGTTATAACGGTTGTCAAATAATTGCAACACAGAAACCACCATCAATATAGCGCTATAACATGTTATAACTCTGTAGTCTGAACGTACTATAATACAATATGAATTTCGACAAAACAAGCTGAACAATGCATTAGGTCCTAAGGAACATTGATCGATTCTCTTCATTGATTTTCTCTTTCATTAATAACTTCGGTACTGAACCGTTTCTTGTCGTGTTTGACGTATACAATGCTAGATGATAGCTTGTTTTATCGATCTGTGAGCTGAAATAAGCAGGAAACGTCTTAACATGGCCGCGAGGATGCAAAGAGAAAGTCAATGTTACTTAGGACCTAATGCATTGTTTAGGTGACGGTCAAATTCTCATGTGATTTGCGGTATCACATCATGGCCCATGTGGCACTCCAACATTCTCATGTCATTTTGATTATGGTCACTATATTCAATCTGGAACATGCTGCGGCCATATCTCCGGAAGCAGTTGACCGATTGCAACAATATTTGGTGGTTGTTACCAATTCGGTTCAGTGGTTGTTGAAAAACACTCCGTTCTTCACTTCGTAACTCACGCACACTCACACATACACATATAGCTGAGTCGTATACCCTTCTATGTAAGAAAGGTAAAAAGGAACCAAAACATCAAAACAGACCCGCAGTTCTTCCGATTTTTCGATAAAAAAAGTTAAGACGCTTCGTTTTACTCGCCGTTTCGATACTCATGTTTGTTATTTACTAAAAACCAGTGCGTTTCCTCATACATTTGTGCACACCAATTTGCCATGATTATTTAGTGTTCCTATGCAAGATCTCGTGCCTACAAAATGATCCTGTCGCATTTCGTGGAAAAGTTGAAGGTAGGATCTGGGCTTCCAATTAGGGGTGAAAAACAACAGCCTGTTGATTGTGCGTTGTGTTTCAGATCGGCAAACGGTTCGTGCTGCTAGATTTGGTGGTCCACCCGGACTGCGAACCCCAATGGGATTCGGCTGGACCAGCAAACAAGTTTGTCCCGGTAGAGGTTTGGAAGCTGATTTACAGAAAGCTGGAGGATCTCTGCCGGCAGCAGTTGGGTGAAAGTGTCAGCGGTGGTAGGGGAAAGGATTCCGACGGCAGATGCGAAATTGATAAAGAGTACAAATTCAGGTTGACCGAAAAGGCTAACTATTTGCTAAAATACGAGTTTAAGGACAGCAACAGTAGGACGGTGTTGAATTCCTTATTCAACGAGAAGGACAATCGTCTGCACAAGGAATGCCTCGTGGTTCAGGTAATTGACGAAACGAAGGATTTGTTCCGGCAACTGGAGGAGAGAAAAAAGACAATCGAAAAGCTGCAGAAGGAGAACTCTAGATTGAAAGAAATTCCGGAGCCTAGCAGCCAGGAGTACACTCCGACTCCGGTGAAGAGTTCCGGTTCGTCGGCTAACGTTTCGATGGAATACATTCCGATAGCGATTAACGGTGGATCCCCAATGAGTTCGTCGAGCTACAAAGCTCGCAAGATTGCGAACACTGTGAAGGTGGATCCGGATCCGTACACACCGACTTCCAGTCAGGAAGCCAATCCGGACAAAGTTGCCTATGTTCCCAGCAGCTTGAAGAGCCCGAGCAAATCGAACGTAGACCAGAAGGTAGTGTACTCGAGCTCCGGAGAGAGTATTGTTTTCGGCAAAAGGCAACGACGTCAAAAGGAAATCTTTGGACACTCGGATGACGACGAAGATGGCAAACGATGCCCGAAATCGGAGCCAGAAGATGCTCACAATATCAGTGTGGAGAACATGTTTAGTCCGGACTCCTCACCGCACCCGGTCGATTTCATCGCAGAGGAAATTATATCCACTGGAGATCACAAGCGGCTGCAACTACCACGGAAGACAAAAGCCGGTGTCAGCTACGGTGGTCCGCTGATGTCACCGTTGGGTTCGGATGGGACTCTCCCTTCTCCTTCCGTTACGAAACGCCGCCGCAAAGATGAGGATTCGAGCAAAAGTAGCTCAAAGAAAGACTCCAAAATATCTTCTCGCGGAACCATCGACGGCTGGATGAAGAAATCCAGCCGAAAGGATGGCGAATTGCCCACAGCTGGGTCCTCGAAAGACCATTCCAAAGACAAGGAAAACGACAAACGCTCCAACAGTCGGAAACCCAAGAAGGAACCGTCTCCTGCTGTTCAAACGCGGGTTGTCGACAGAGAGAAGCTCAAGGAAGAGGAAGAAGTCATGCGGAAAACGATTGCCAGTCTTGACCAACTGGACAAGATGCTTCCTGAGGATAAGACTCAATTGGATGTTCCTGTTTTGTAAGCGGGCGATTTCAGCGCGGGCCATTTTCGATCTTTAATAAAATTTTCAAATTCCAGGAACTGCTTCAAACTGACCATCCCGGACGTCAACGCCACCTTCGGAACCTTTCGGAGCGAACTGAAGCAGATCTTCGACCGGTACAAGAACAAATCCGAACGTGAATGGCAAATGGCCGACGAGCTGTGCTACTTCACCGAAGTGACGAGCGTCATGAGCGACGAACAAACCTACGCCATGATGCAACGCTTGGAGGAGGAATTCGTCCCCCAGGACGAACGTGGAATGGTAAAATTACGTTAGAAAATTGTCTCCGAGACGCTGCTAATGGGAGATTTTTTTGACTGTAATTTTATAGTACACGGAGTTCTTCTCGTCGACGCTGATCATGGAGTGGGGTCTGCGTATGTGGATGAAGATGTTCAACTTCTCGGACCGTCGGGAGGCGCTGGACCGCATTCGGCTACAGGAGGAAGCCAACCCGATGGAGCTGACGCCCAGCTGCCTCGAATCGTTGACGGTCAGCCGCAACCGGAAGCGATGAGCCGATGGGATTAGAGGGGAATGGGTGCGAGAGCCAGTACAACAGTATGCCTTTGTTGGAGCCTTAGAGGATGACGATTGGAGCATTTTTTTTTTTTGGAAGCGAAGTATTTTCCCATTTTGTTTTGTAGTTCTAGATAACGTCGTTGATTTATTCATTGTTGTTTCCACGAGCGGCATTGTACGGGAAAGAGACTGGTTTTGTTTTTCGATTTCATTATAAACTGAGGGTTAAATTTCGAAACCATTTACGCAAATAGAACTGATAAGTATCGCGCAAGTGTGTCTGGCAGTAATTCGTTAGATGAAGAATAGAGAAAAGTATATTGTCTGGGAAAATTTGCGCTAGCGGATCTTGTTTTTGACGTAAAGTCTATTGAAGTCTCTGCCGGTGGTTGACTCAGTGGGTTCTTATGCGCCCATACGCGCTGCAGTCTGGTTGTGCAGTCGCTGTAGTTTTGTCATAGAGCCGTAGCGGTTGCGCTGCCGTATTAGAAATCACCAGATTAATTCAACTTCCGAGGTCCTTGCATACTCTTTAGTATTAATGGCTGATCCAGCACTCGAAGGGAAAAGTGGGAATTTGAAAGAAAACGAGTGAAGGACACAAGTAGGTATTCGGCGGTCTGATCGCTAATCGAACCAACGTAATGCAAGAAGTAATACTTGTATGGCCAATTCGGTGCAGGTGGATATATTTTTAATATTCTAACCAAAATTTGTGTTAGTGGGATCCTATTCTTTGTAACAGTATTAAGGCTGGAGAGATGGAGGACGCGGAAGGACCGCTTTGGGGAAGCATAATATGGTTTATTGCTAATATATCTTGGAATGGTTCAGGTGGACTAGGAGTGATAGGTTTACGCTTTTGAGTTTTACTCTTCCTTATATCATTTTCATTATTTTCAAGTGTTTTGGCTGACTTTGGTAGTTGGTAGTTTATTGAGTTGACCACATCTAACTTCGGAGTTGACTGTCAGGCTTCCTTGCATCTGCGCCGACCTGAACAATCCAGAATGCTTGTTTTGCGAGATCCACTTTGCCAAGATTTTGTGGATGTCATGGTGTTGAAAATCGTTTCAACAGGAATAAAACCACAGATAGGTAACATGGGAATCATAAACGGAGCCATTTAAATTTCAATTGGTAGTGACACCTAGCGGTGGAGAGAACGCTTTTTACACTCAAAATTTATTTACACTTATACCACTTTTTACCATTTATACCAAACATACCCAAGATTCATATATTGAAAGGTGTGTACACTTCTGTTGGTGCATATGTATAGAGTGTCTTTAGGAAAGATGAGAAAATCTTATTTATTTTTTAGATTATATGATTGTTTTGAATTCTTCTTCTTCTTCTTCTTCTTCGAATTTAAACTTATTGCTTATTGCATATAAGCTTATTGCATACTCTGAGCTTATGTCGTTTTCGTTTTTGCGGTGCAGCACTGGTGTAGTGTAAGCAGGAATAAGCACGAGTCTTTGACAGCTCAGATCACTTCCTACCCACAGATTTCATCAATGCTTCCTGCAAAAGCAAAGGGTAAGTAAAATGCTAATTGTGGAGTGAGACGATCACATAAAAGAAAAACTGTATTTATGATTGTTTTGCTAATTCTAGTACGATTATCATAATTCCGTACACTTTGATATTCAAAAACACAATTAGAATAAGACATATCCAAAGTTTAACCACAAACGAAGTGACAGACGGAGCGGCTCGAAAACTTTGGTGACTAACCTGCTATTGCAATTTTTCAGTGTACCACATGGCAACACCACTACTACTGGATTGAACCACATGGCAACACTACTACCAACAATCAATACGAAACTAACGATTTTAAATTGGCTCACCACTTTAGTAGCCTATTGGTCCCAAGCAAACGATTAACGTACCCTATTCTAGTTGAAATTCTATTACTACACTATGTTTGTTTTGATTCGCTATGAAAGTTTGATAGATAACATCAGGGGTGTGTGGATTCATGCAGAACATGCAGGGGTGAGTGAAATAGCTTGGGACTGCTTGGGACCGTTGTTCTGGTACTGAGTGAGCCAAAAATAATAATGATTTTCTTCGGGACCCAGTGGTCTTAGAGTTACCTCTATGCTACTACTGGATTGAACTAGCATTTTCACCAAATGTACTAGAATGTTTTGGTTCTATCTCTTTCACTCTACTCAAAACTGAAATGCATAAAAAAAATGAGAAAATGATACGCACTCTTTGCACACTGTCAAAGAATCATTGTACACAAAATCAACTTTGTTCAAATCAAAACAAAAAAACTAACCCATCTGGTGGATGATGGCACAAGCTTCCAAGAAAATTCTATTACAGTGAACCACATTATTTAAATGGATTTCTTCGCCAGTTAGTCGTCTGTCACTTCGTTTGTGGTTTAACGATAGGAAATATTATCATCAGCGGGTATTTATTTGCATCATGTTCCAATGTATTGTTCTGCAAACAATTAACACTCTAAGACTTCATTTAACCCCGTTGCGATAAAAGGGAAAGAAGTGCCGAAGCTGACATTCCCCCTAATTAAAAAATATCCAATCTTTCATTCATCCTGAATTCTCAAAACTATATTCAATACACATGCAGATCGCTCTACCTATAGGATTAGAAAATATCTTGGGTTGTGAGAGGATATGTCGAAGGAATGGCAGGGAAACTCTCTTTACTCCAATGGCATTTCTCATGACCGTGTGCGTTTGTGTTAAAAAGCAAAACATCTTCCGTCTTTCACTTTTTATGCGTAAAAACCGTCGTCCAGAAAAAGTGAAATCATAATGCATTTCGTCGTAGAAAAAAAATCGTTACATTCACGACGGATGACCCCATTGTTTAGGATTTATGAGTGGGAAAGCGAATACGAGCCTATCAGTCATGTAGCATATAGTAACATGCCGTCTCTTTTGTTCTTTCAGTCCTCCAGGTAGCAGTATAGTCGCCAATTGAGCTGTCAAATAGCGGAACCAATCGAGCAAATCACGATCAACAACAGAAAAGAGCACATCAGTTATTGCGAACAAAACTTCGGAACCCCTTTTCTCGTGACTCAAGACTCACCTACGCAAATTAATACCATAGAGGTAACTCTAAGACCACTGGGTCCCGAAGAAAATCATTATTATTTTTGGCTCACTCAGTACCAGAACAACGGTCCCAAGCAGTCCCAAGCTATTTCACTCACCCCTGCATGTTCTGCATGAATCCACACACCCCTGATGTTATCTGTCAAACTTTCATAGTGAATCAAAACAAACATAGTGTAGTAATAGAATTTCAACTAGAATAGGGTACGTTAATCGTTTGCTTGGGACCAATAGGCTACTAAAGTGGTGAGCCAATTTAAAATCGTTAGTTTCGTATTGATTGTTGTTAATACCATCTTTGGGTTGGGGAAAGCTTCTCCTATCCGATGATGCTGGTAATTTGCGTTCGATTGGCGAGGAAAGAATAATCAACGTTTTGTTTATAAAAGTTGATAGAACCTTTTCAATTGTTGGTCTACAATATATTGAATTGGTTCTGCTTTTTGATAAATCGAAATTCTATTCGCCAGACTATGAATTTAGCGACTATAGGTAGCAGTTAGTGGGACACTACACTCGATATAGGCAACTCAGTGGCGCCTTGTTGCTAGTTTTCCCAGACTTTCGATTCGTTGCGTGTGTAATAATATTTTTTGCATTCCTTTGCTTAACGCCTTTGATGTTTTGATCGAATAATTCAATGAAATAATTAAATAAATGTTGTCATGTTTCTTTTACATGTAACATTTGAATGCTCATCAGTACATAGTGGCTTTAGCATTTTTGAATCCAAGGTTAGTTGTGTACTAGGATTTAATATTTTTCTTTCAATCTGGCATTGCTGGTACTAGTATAATGGACAACAAGAATCGTACAGTACTATCCTAATATTTTGATCGTGTGAATCAAATGAAAACTTTACCGTTTTATTAAAGTACGTTAAATTATTTTTTTACTAAAGATTGCTAGTATTGAAAAGCCAAACGCAACGGATTATAATTATATTATGCATGGACAGCTTATTTGACACATGATCTTTATTAGCATATTTGTATAGCTTTAGCTTATTAGTGGACATAAAACATTTGTTTCATGCGAAATTAATGGAACGCACCCTAATTACACGCAACAGAACAACGGCTCTCTAAACAAATCTTTACACTTTTAACATTGAAATCAGTGGTTATGTAAGGAAATTGGTTTAGTTTTGTTGCTATTGATTCGTGGAGCTTTGCTTATTTCTTAGACAAATATTGCATTTTTTTAATGTGCTATGAAACTTTCAGAAATTTTGTTTGCAAAATAAGAAAATTATTTAATTTTTTGAGTTTGTGGTTGAAGCAAAATAAACCGTTAAGAATTGTCTCCGAAAAAAGTGCACACACAATAACAGTTGTAACTTTTTAATCATCGTTTTCAGAGAAGATTATTGTGTACATAGTGCAATTTTTTGACGATCTAGAAGGTTTTATACCAAATTACAATGGAGTGAACACACTTCTCTCAGAAAAAAAAAAAACGTGCGCACTATTCCAGGCCTCCGCTGTTCGGTAAATTTTTGAACTACGGTTTGTTTAGTAAAAGTTTAAAAATCAGTGAAAAATTCAAAAAAATAATAAATTTATACGGAACATATACATACATACAGACTTCGTTTAGTTAACCCAATTTAATAATAAAAAATAAAAATAAAACTTGTCAATTTGACTGATTACTCACCTGTAACGGAAATTTGAATATTTTATCGACTTATTTACACACTAAGATTTTTTTACCGAATATGGAACAGCTGAACATTCGGTAATCCTTTCGGTAATTTTTTAATTTACAATCCGTTCTGTAAATTTTCTTCGCTTGTGGCCTGTCAAAATTTAATGACCTGGACTGTAAATTTTACTGAAAGATCGGTTAAGTTTACCATAGCGTTCAGTATATTTTTACCGAATCGTCTGTACTTTATTTTCAGAATAAATAATAAACATTGTAATTTTTATTGATTGATTAACTGTTTCTTTCTTTCACCAAACCAAAAGATTCATTCCTTATAACCATATATTTTTTTGGAAGATGCATTTTCATCTTGCGTTTGTACAGAAAATTATAAAAAAAATCAGTAAAGAGCCCGGACGAGGTTATCAACCGTTCTAAAATGCAGTTTCTGCGGTAGAGGAGGACATTGAGTTGCATAACGTCCATGGCGTCTGAAAGAAATTGACCCAGAAATGAAAAACTAATT